TGCCTTGCTTGTGTCACGCCTCGTGCATTGCCTGCTCCCTCCCCACTCCTTGCACTCGCTACCCCGCGCTCGGCCTGGCAAAAAGGTTACGAAATTCGAACTCGTTGCCTGGCAAAAAAGGTTACGAAATTCGAACACGTTGCCTGACAAAAAAGGATACGAAATTCGAACTCCTCACAGCAAGCCAAGGGTCGAGTCAAAAGTGATTCATTCACTCGTTGCCCTGCGCTCGGCCTGGCAGTCGCGACGGATCAGGGGGGAGGGACGGACGCAGTTGCGATGAAGGTACACGCGGAACTGCAGATGCTGCAACGGCTGGGAGTGAAGGGCGAGAGAGAGGAAAGCCACGGGCGGCGAATTTATGAGAAGAGGAGCGGCGGGTGGCGCGGGGAGGAGAGCGGCGAGGGGACGGGATGCGGGTGACGGGGAACGATGCGATAAGCGTTGTGGCGCGAGTGAGGAGGGCCACGCGAGATGGCAGTCGCAGCGGGCCTTGAGGTGACGCAACTAGGCGTGTTGCGTGGCATACAAAGAGCGAATCACGCCAGTGCAGAGATAGGACATAGGGCGACGAGCGCGGCGGAAAACAGAAGCGGCGCAGGAACTGAGGCTTGGGGAAGAGAGCAGAGACTCGGTAGAACCAAGGGTAGATTCCAGGGCTGTATTTTTGTGTGCGGAAATCGAGGCAGTTTGGTGTTACGACTGATGTTTTCTTTGTAATGTTGTCATAGTCTGTATCGAATCAGATTCATTTGAGTATGCTTCAAATATTCGAACTGTGCGCGACGCGGCTGGTGTGAACAAATCTTCCGCCTCACGCCCTTTCACTTCGACCCACTTCACAACCCCCTCCTTCCCAGTGAGTTGTATCTATCTGATTTTCTCACGGCTACTACTATAAACTCGAGTTCCGTGACTCTTGTCGCGAGGAGACCTGGTTTGTGGAGTGAAGCTTGCAGGTTTTGAGCCTTTTTTCTAGTCGACGAGTCGAGCATCACGTACGCGGTTACGGTCCTGCAAGAGTGTCGTTTAGGGGTGTACGAGCCGCAACATGCCCGGCGCGACGCTGACGGACACGCGTCCATCGATGGACAGCTTGCTCCACGGCGTCGCCAGCGGCGGTGCTGGCGTCCGCCCCGTAGCGAAAGCGATCTTCGAAGTTTCGCAAAAGACTCTCGCCGGTGCAGACGACCGCCGTCATACGGCGAGTGAGATCACCGGCGACGGCGCTTCACCAGAGAAGGATGCGCGCTGTGAGTCCACGTCAGCAGCAGCGGGAAGACCCGTTGATGCTGCTGCAGGCGGTATGGAACCTGATAGTGCTGCAGAAGCGGCAGGATCAACGGCAGGAGCAGGAGTAACACCAGCAGAAGCAGCACCAGTGGCAGCAGCAGCGACGGACGTTGACTTGACGGCGGGTGAGTCGCGGCGCGACGGCGGTTCAGGCGAAGGCATTGCTGGTTGGTGGGGCAGGCGAGCCGCGAAGAGCGGCGATTCGGCGGGGAAGGATTCCGGCGACGATTCCGAAGATTCGTCAGCGAGCGATTGGGACGGCTGGCGAGAGGAGAAGGCGGCGACGGATGGCGAGCACGTGGCGAATGACGGCGAAAAGGCGGAGACGGGTGGTGAAGAGGCGGCGACAGATGGCGAAAAGGAAGGGAACGGTGGCGAAAAGAAGGCGGCAGATGGCGAAAATGAAGGGAACGGTGGCGAAAAGGTGGGGAAAGGCGGCGAAGGGGCGGCGACGGGAGGGGGTGCGGCGAGGCGACAGAGGAAGACGGCGGAGGCTGCTGCAGCCGCCATGAGGCGGAAGGTACGGGGGGGAACAATGATGGCTGAAACGGTGCAGAGATGGGGGATGGTTTGAAAGGAACGGTGATGCTGTGATATCTGATGGGCGAGCGCTGTGAGAAGGAGAAGTACTTGCTGTGACTAGCTTTGGCCGGGTTTGGTTCGGTTCAGGGGTGACGTCTCTTCGTGTCATCACCCTCCCTGCATTCGCATTAACCTCCGCGGTGTGTCTCTGTCGGACTTGCATTTCCGTCGCACGTGTCTCTGTCGCAGGAGGATCGCGAGCGTCGCAGGGAATCAGCTGACCTGCTGGCGACATCTCAGCGACTCCTTCGCGGTGAGTGAGGCGAAGGCATGCCCCCGTCATTCGTCGCGCACGCACATCTCTCCGGAGAGGGGTACAAAATCGTATCTCCCCTGCCATATCCGACAATTGGATTCCGACTGACCCCGTACAAGTACGTCCCTGCTCCCTCCTGCTCTGTCCCGCCCTGCGCCATGCACCAGAGAGAAGTGTGAAGTTCACGCGCCCTCTCCCTCCACTCCTCTCCCCTCCCTTCCCCTCCCCTCCCCACCCCACCCCTGCCGTCTCCTGCTCTGCCCCGCCCCGCGCCATCCACCAGAGAGCAGCGTGAAGTTCACGCGGCCGCGGCTGGCCGCCATCTCGTTGGGCGGCTTCTTCTCCACCATGCGCGAGCGGATGGCGTTGGTGGATGCGCGCATGCCGCGGTGAGTCATGGGGGCGGGGATGGGAGTTGCGGGGGGATAGGCGGCTTCTTCTCCACCATTCGCGCGCGCATGGCGCTGTTGGATGCGCGCATGCCGCGGTGGGACATGGGGGTTGGGGAGATGGGGATGGATATAGGCGGCTTTTCACCGCATGGCGCTGTTGGATGCGCGCATGCCGCGGTGGGTGATGGGGATAGGTGGGAGGTGGGGTTGGGGGATGGGGTTGGGGATAGGTGGCTTCTTCACTGCCATGCCCGCGCGCATGGTGCTGCTGGATAGCCGATATTTCTTCAGCTAAACCAAAAATATTTAAGATCTCTTGGTCAGTACCATAACAAATCGCCCTTAAAAAGTGTAGTCATAGGAAATTTCATTTTACAATCAATGCGAGCATACATAATGCTATTAGCATCCGTAGCAAATTATATCCATGCACCTCTAAAATGAATAATCCTTGCAGAATATAACTTAGCGGGTCATGGCGGGCGGGGAGTGGGGGATGGGTGCACATAACGTACGTGGGTGATGGCTGGTTGGGCGATGGGTGATGGGATACGCGATGGGATGGATGATGGGACATGGGCGGTGGGCAATCGGTGTTGGGGGATGGGCAATCTCATGCCCATTCCCCCCTCCCCCCCCACACTCCCTGCCACTCTCGAGTGTGCCATGCTGTGCCAATGTACCTGACTGTGCTGCGCTTGCGCTGTGTGTTGTTCGTCTCGCCATTCCCTGCCGTCGCTTCACATGCACCTGACAGAGAAACGGAAGAGGAGGACGAGGAAGACGAGATGGATGACGAGGACGATGACGTGGACGGAGAAGAAGAGGAAGAATCAGGGGAGGAGGATGAGAAGCCCAAGGCAGGGACGAGCGAGCGAGGAGAAGTCGAGAACGCCAGGGGCGGCCCTGGCAATGGCGCTGTGGCGGTGTCACGCGCTGTGATTGCAGACATGCTGCACCGCTTGGCACAGGAGGAAGAGGAGGAGGGCGACGAGGATGATGGGCTCATTGTGCTTCAATGCTCCCCTCCCCCTCCCCCTGCTGCTGCTGCTGCTGCTGCTGCAGGAGTGGCAGCAGAAGGGGCAGCAGGAGGGGCAGCAGAAGGGGCAGCAGGAGGGGAAGTAGGAGGGGCAGCAGAAGGGGCAGCAGGAGGGGCAGTAGGAGGGACAACAGTAGGGGCAGAAGGCAAAGATATGGATGGGAAGGGAACGAAAGGAAGAGGGGAAGTGGATGGCAGGGAGGTGAGAGGAGAGGTGGGAAGCGCGTGTGCCATGCAGCAGAAGGATGAGGAAAGAAGGAAAGCAGCACTGGGGGTGAGTCATAGTGGAGTCGAGACGAAGGGATATAAGGAGACCCGGGAGGAGAGGAAGAACGGGGAGACAAGGGAGGAGATAGATAATGGGGAGAATGGGAAGAAGGGGAAGTGGGGCAGTGCAGTGAAGGAGTCAGGGGACAGGCAGGGCACGAGGGGTGAGGGCACGAGGGGTGAGGGCGGACGCACAGGTAGGCCTGCGAGCAGCGAGCGAGAGAGGGTGTGTGGGAGAGCGCAGGTGGGAGGTGCAGGGACAGAAGTGGACACCAGTGCTGGTGGTGCTTTGAGGGAGGCAGCTGTTGAAGTGTCAGATGGGAGAGGGGCGGCGGAGGGAGAGAGTGAAGGGTCGGTGGGACGAGGGGGGAGAAGAGAGGGGGGCGCAGACAAGGCAGGGGCGGGGATATCAGGGCAGAAAACAGATGGGGGCTGTGATGGGGGAAATCTGAGGGTCGCAGAGGGGGGGAAGCAGGGTGGCGCAGCGTGGGAGAAGCAGGGGGGAGCAACGGGAGCGAAGCAGGGGGGAGCAGCGGGGGGAAAGCAGGGGAGTGCAGTGCGGTGGTGGGTGGGGGCGCGCAAGGCAGCAGGAGTGGGGCCCAAGTCGCTGAGTGAGTGGGCCAAGGGGCGTGGGGGAGGGGCGGCTATGCAAGGGGGGAAGGGGGGAAGTGGGGGAGGGGCGGGTATGCAAGGGGGGAAGGGGGGAAGTGGAGGAGCAAGTGGAGGTGGCGGTGGTCTTGTGGGAGCTGGTGCGAGCGCTGCTGCTGCTGATGGTGGTGCTGGTGCTGCTGCTGCTGATGCTGCTGCTGCTGCTGGTGCTGTTGATGGTGCTGTTGATGGTGCTGCTGCTGCTTCTGTTGAAGTTGTTACTACTGGTGCTGCTGCTGACGCTGCTGTTGGTGCTGCTGCTTCTGGTACTGCTGATGCTGCTGTTAGTCCTGCTGCTGGTGCTGCTCCTGGGGTTATTGGCAATGAGAGCGGTGATAGAAGCAAGAGATCTTGTGAGGAGAGAGAAGCTGGGCGGAGGTTCATTGACGATGCAGCCACGGAGGATGACGGGGAGGAGGAGGAAGGAGGGGGAGATGGAGGGGAGGATGAGGAGGAGGAGGAGGAGGAGGAGGAGAAGGGTGGAGGATCGAGGGCAAATGAGCGCGATGCGAATTGGGACCGGATGGATATAGAGGATCTAGGAGAGGATGATGGTGAGGGTGCCAGTGAGGGTAACGGAGATGCTTGTAACGAGGATGAAGAAGAGGACGGAGAGGAGGAAGAGGGGGGAGAGGGGCAAGAGGAGGAGGCAGACGAAGGGGAGGAGGAGGAGGAAGGGGAAGGATTAGATGCTGAGTTGGAACGAGCTGCGCTGCACAGGCAGTGGGAGGAGGAGGAGGATGCGCGCGTGCAAGGGGCAGTGATGGGCGGAGTGCAGGGGGGCTGGGCGCATGTGCGCATGGGCAGGCGGAACCAGGGTGGGGGGGAGCGGGGGAGTAGGGGAGTGGGTCTGATGGGGGATGGGGAGGAGGAAGAAGAGGGGGAGGAGGAAGAAGGGGGAGAGGAGGAGGCGGAGGAGGAAACGGGGGAGGATGGAGGGTTGAGGAAAGGCGGAGTGAGGAAGAGGAAGAGTGGAGAGAGTGGGACGGGAGAGGGAGGGAAAGCGAAGGGGGCAGGTGGTGGGGAGTGGGGGTTACTGGCAAAGAAAGTGAGGATGCTGAAAGAGAGGGCGGGGGGAGGAGAGGGGAATGGAATGGAGCAGGATGGCAACCCGAATGGCTCAACTGAGAGTGTGGAGAGGAAGAGCAAAGGAGAGGGAGAGGAGGCGGACGATGACTCTCCGAGTGACGATGCTGAGAATGGCAGCAGCAGTGACAACGATGATAGCAACGACGCAGGCAGTGGTGATGGTGATGGTGACGAGGGGAAGAGAGCATCGCAAGACCTGGCAGAGCAGATGCGCGCCAAGAGACGCGTAGAGGAGATGGTGAGTGGGGGAGATGGTGAGTGGTTGGAGAAGCGCGGTGAATGATTGAGTAAGAGGCTGGATGAGGAGCGACAGTGAGAGACGCAGCGGGAAGGGGGAGACAGTTTGATAGCAGCTCTCCCAGTCCTCTCACCCTATCCTCTCACCCCATCCTCTCACCCCATCCTCTCACCCCATCCTCTCACCCCATCCTCTCACCCCATCCTCTCACCCCATCCTCTCACCCCATCCTCTCACCCCATCCTCTCACCCCATCCTCTCACCCCATCCTCTCACCCCATCCTCTCACCCCATCCTCTCACCCCATCCTCTCACCCCATCCTCTCCCTTGCTCTCCTCTCTTCCCCTCGCCTCCTTCCCACCCCGAAGGCTCCACATTAAGGTGCAGGACACGGCCCTTGGTAGTGGAGGCAGCAGGCAGCAGGCAGCAGGCAGCAGGCAGCAGGCAGAAGGCAGAAGGCTGGAGACACATTATTGTTGTTGCAGTGGTAGCGACGCCACCAGGCTTCCCTCTCCTCATTACCCTAAACCCAAAAATCCCCACCCTCCCATTCCCCCCGCAGCACGACACGCAGGTGCCGTACAACCCACAGGGCAGGCAGGTGCCGTACATCCCACAGGGCAGGCAGGGGAGGCAGCACTCCCATCGACCTCGCATGAAGGGCAGTGGCAGCACTCCCATCGACCTCGCATGAAGGGCAGTGGCAGCACTCCCATCGACCTCGCATGAAGGGCAGTGGCAACACTCCCATCGACCTCGCATGAAGGGCAGTGGCAGCACTCCCATCGACCTCGCATGAAGGGCAGTGGCAGCACTCCCATCGACCTCGCTCCATCCTCTCTTCCTCATCTCTCCACTCGTGCTTATTCTCATCCCTTCCCTTCTTCCCTCTCCTCACCTCTCCCTCCTCTCCCCCCCAAATGGCAGCAGCACAGAGAGGTGAGGGACTCAGTGGTGGGGCAGTGGAGGCAGCAGCAAGGAAGCTGGACATAGTGGTAGCCTCCTCACCTCTCCCTCCTAACTCTAACCCACCCCCTTCTTCCCCTGGCAGCATCACAGGGAGGTGCGGGACACGGTGTTGGGGCAGTGGAAGCAGCACTTGCAATCCTCTTAACCCATCCTCTCTCTCTCTCTCTCTCACTCGCCTGTTCTCCCTTTCCCCCCCACTGCAGCATCACAGGGAGGTGCGGGACACAGTGCTGGGGCAGTGGAGGCAGCACTCCCACCGCAACATCACTGTTGTCCGAGGGGCCGCCCTCCCTGCTTTACACTCACGTTCCACTTCCTTACAGCCACACGGCCCTTCATTACAGTCACACGGCCCCTGCTTGCAAGCACACCGACCGTCTGTAAACACCTCTTACAGCCATTTCAACCGCACTGCACCTGCACCGATTGCAGCCTCCCCCTGGAGCGGAACTGGCCATTCCATTCCTGTGAGTCCTGTGCTCTCTCCCCCTTCCTCCCCTCTCCCCCTTCCTCCCCTCTCCCCCTTCCTCCCCTCTCCCCCTTCCCCCCCCTCTGTCTGTTTCTTCATTCTCTTTTCCATGCAATCAGAATCATTCATATGCCCCGCGCCCATTGCTCTCTCCATCTCTCCTTCATCCTGCTACCTTCCGTTCCTCTCTCCCTTCCACTAGTCCCTCAGCAACGCACTTCAACATGCCTCTTTCTCCCTGCAACGCACTTCAACATGCCTCTTTCTCCCTGCAACGCACTTCAACATGCCTCTTTCTCCCTGCAACGCACTTCAACATGCCTCTTTCTCCCTGCAACGCACTTCAACATCCCCCCGGCTCCTTTTGCTCCGTGCACCAACTCTCCTCTGCAGGCACCGGCCTTAGGCCTGCGAGCCTCCTCCTTTCTCGGGCAGCTTTTCAAACTGCCCAAGGATTTCAATTTCACCACGGGCAGCTCTGGAAAGACGGGGCAGGCTGGCCCCTCTCGCGCATACATTTTCAGGGCCAAAGAATTGGCAGAAGAGGAAACCATGTAGCTTGCTCAAGTGGGTTGCCATGCATGTGCAATTAGGGGTTAGCAAGGTAAAATTGCACCTCAACAATTAGATTTCCCCCGGAAGGCAAAGTAGTGACCCCCGTCCCAACTTGAATGAGGAGTTGAAAAGCGAGGGTGAAACCAGTCAGACAAACACTGTCATACGATTTGTATAGGCAGAGTGAACTCATACCATTGGCTCTCGCCACAGTGGAACGTTTTGGTGCCCGCCAAAATGAACTTTCATCCATCGCAATTTTGCGTGTGCATCCGCCGAAAATAGCTCAGCGGACAAGCGACTCCGCCCGGCGGAGCTCGCTGCCCGCGGGCAAAAAAAATAAACCCCAGACGGGCATGCATCCGGTCAGGGAGCCTCAACCCTAAACGCCTGGAGGCATGGTGTTTAGGGTTGAGGCTCCCTCGGATGGCATGCCATCCGATGGGGGTTTAGTTTTTTTGCTGCCCGAGGCAGCAGGTCGACAGGTCGACACAGGTCGACAGGCTTGTCGACCTGATTCCGCTGAGCTCTTCCGCACGACAAACCCCAGGCGATCGTTTTCCATCGCAGGCCCAACTTCATTTTCAAGCTGGTGCTGGGTGCATTACTAGATTTCTGCCACTCCCTTCGTCACTACCGTAGTTTCCGCTTAGCATAGTAGTTAGTACCGGTATAGCTGGAAGCACAGGCCACGTAATTACCTACGACTGCGTCAATTGTCGACTTAGCAATACTAAGAAATCAAGTAATACCGTATGTGGCCTGGTAGCACAGTGCAAGTTTCCCGTCATTATCTCCCCCTGTCAAATGTTATAGCCTGTAGTGAGTGTCAGAAACACGAAGTGATGCAAAAGAAGAATGACGAAAGAGAGGGTTTCACTAGCAGCAGTAGGGTACATATAGCAAACCCTACCTGGGTTGTACTCGCTATAGAGCACCCCACTACAGGCTAGATAATAACATTCTGACACACCCCCATAGCCAAAGTGGGGTGTAATCAGCACAATGAGCAGACATAGTAATAGTTCACAATTATAAGCAAAGCTAGAGGCGATCACCGAGGGCAAGTGAGGAGGAGGAGGAATTGTGAAGGGAGAGAAGATGGGAGACGACGGATGAAGCTGCAGACACACGGGCAACAGGAGGACTGGCACAGTGGCTACCGAGCGCACAAGGGCACCGGACTACGGGAGTATCTGGCTCCGCGGCTACGACGAGCGGCAGGAGCAACGGACCCACAGGCGACTGGCACAGCAAGGCTCTCTGGGCTACCGAGAGCGTGACGGCTCCGGACTACAGGCGCTGCAGACGACACGACGGCGGCCTCCGCTCAACCTCCCCCAACAGTCCCACCTCCTTTCCACACACCCCCTGCTGCACCCCTAGCTCCACTCCCACGTCACCCCCCTTAAACCCTAAACCCTCGGCTCCCACACACCCACCCCCCTCAGCGGCAGCTGCAGCAGTGGGAGACGGAGGAGGAGGAGGAGCTGCAGGTTACCCACACCGGTCACCCCCATGCCCGCCACCCCCAAACCCTAACGCAGGCAGGAGCGCGGGAAACAGCAGGGGCGGTTCACGAAGGGAAAGGGAGGCGGCGGGGTGTCTCCTGGGCGCCACGAAGAAGCAGGGCGCGGGCCCCCCGAGGGCGCCACGGCGGGTGACGGGAGGGGCCGCGCGCGGGCCCCCAAGGCGCCGCGACGAGGCGACGGGAGGGGGGGGACGCGCGGGCCCCCAGGGCGCCGCGACGAGGCGACGGGAGGGGGCGGCGCGCGGGCCCCCAGGGCGCCGCGACGAGGCGACGGGAGGAGGACGACGGGGGGCAGCGCGCAGGTCCCCGGGGGCGCCACGACGGGCAGGAAACCGCCGCGCGCCTCGGGGCGCACGGCGGGCAGAAAACCGCCGTACGCCCCGAGCGCACGGCGGGATGAAAAACCCTAAAAATTTTCGCCGCGTGGAGCGCCCGAGGCGCGCGAGAAGCAGAACAGCAGCGGAAGCAGTTAGGTGGCGGGCCCACCCACAGGATCGACCCAAGGGGGTCGACCTGCTCTGATAGCATGTCAGAAACACGAAGTGATGCAAAAGAAGAATGACGAAAGAGAGGGTTTCACTAGCAGCAGTAGGGTACATATAGCAAACCCTAACTGGGTTGTACTCGCTATAGAGCACCCCACTACAGGCTAGATAATAACATTCTGACAGTGAGGGATGTCATGTGGGGTACAGTCGTTAGGGTTGGGTACCATAAGCCCATGGATATAAGCGCAGACCTCGGATAAGCGCCGGGCGCTTATAAAAGGCATATGGCGCTTGTATCCGGTCTTCAATTGTAAGCGCACCCCTAATGGCTTACAGATTATGCTCCGTATTATTTTATATATTTTTAATGGATCATTTGTAACGAAACACGCATTTTGCATCCTGGCGTTTAGAATTTCAACGCCTTTTACCCTCGCGCAGCTCACTTCGTGCGCGTCTGGTCAGAATGACCTGTCATGGGGAAAGCATGACTCATTCTGACTCAGTGTGTTAAAAGGGAATCTTTCCCTGCCAAATTACGCGAGATTCTCATGCACAGCCCTCTATAGATTCAAATCGCAAGAACCAGATGAACACTTTGATGTACAAAAACTAGATTTTATATATGTCATTATATAAGCCCCGGCGCTTATAAAATTCCTCGATTATAAGCCCATGTCAGAAACTAACAAGCAGGAATAGCTGAATTGTATGAAATGTGGGTACAAGTACTAACCCTAACTTTGGGTTGTACCCCATATGGGCTACCCCACTATAGCCTACACAAAACTAACACATATATAGTTTGTGTCAGAGGTCCACTGGTGATCCCCGATTGATCCTAGGGAAGGGTTACAGGCATGGCGGCCTGGGGGGTTATGGGCGCACTCACCCGCTACACAAACAAGCCCTTTTATCCCAGTAGTTAGTGGCTGGGATTCTGACATGGTATCAGAGCGAAGGTCTCGGGTTCGAATCCCGGTGTGTGCACCTCGGGCATCCCACTACGGGGGGGTGTCAGAGGTCCACTGG